GTTCTTCAATCTCATTCGGGAAATTCCCATTAACAACATTCTATAAAAGAACCATATTAAACATTCAATACAATGTAATAAATAGATAAATAATACATAATACATTTAATAAATAATAAATATAGAAAAAAAAACTTATCCTGCGAATCAAACATCTCTGCGCATGATTTTTTTAACAATGTAGCAGGATCCCTATCAAAAATTACAAAAGTTGCTGAGTCTGTTTCATAAATGACCCTCACCTTAAGCTTGTACCTGAAATTCATAAGCAATAAAATATTATTTGTAAGAATTTCATAAAAAAGTTGAAATATGATGCCAAAAAAATAGCATTGATTAGTACCTAGGCATGACTTTCATGACATGTTTATTACATTTTTCACGAGAAAAACATTTTGGAATCTGGATATACTTGCTTTGTTGCACACACAAGCTGTATACCACCAATCATCATCATGAACAATATGTTTTATAGTGCCTAGAATTACAAAACTTGTTTCCTGTAAAAACAAATATGAACAATAGTAATTAAAACTAAAATGAATAGACAATAACCACAATGAACATCACTAATTAATAGGAATGGAGTAATGAATAGATTAATAATGACTATGACACCTGTTTACAATCTTTTAAACCCTCTATTGTATTTCTAGGAGTAGATTGAAGAAATTCATCTTCACTGGTTTGTTTAGAAGAGTCGAAAGTTGGCTTAACCCTTGGGCAGGTGACTCCATACTCCGAGACATCCCGCATTCAATAAAACATGAAAAGTCAAATGGACATTTTAGTTGGTTAACACTTCAAGTGAAATTTATGATTTACACCTTTTTTTAAGTTGTCTAGCTTCTTCGCACTCGAGCATTGAAAATTATCCTTGTACAATCCATACAATTTTGCACATATACTTTATCTGTAAATAACATATAAAGATATAAAACTATAATATAATGTCAATAATTGTAACTAACTATAACTAATTATAACATCAATATATTAGTTACCTTGGAAGATTTTGACTTTGCCGAATTGTATGATTATGACAGGATTTTGGATATCTCCGGATGCAAGGAATGCATTTAGGTCATCAACATATTGACCAAACAACGTACACTCTACTCTAAAACTAAGTTTGAAAAACAACACATGTTAAAAAAAAAACTATACTATATTATAGTAAATCCTTAAGCATCAATAAATGGGTTAAAGAGCTTTACCCATCGACCTCTAAGCATATCATGTTTAGTTTTGTTTTTGTACAATTCTTGTCTAGCTCTCTTTACGTCCCAACTCCTGTAAGTATTCCCATGACATCTTGTTTGTGAAATGATGTTTCATGTGAGTAACACCATATGCTAAATAATAAATAAATAGTATATGATAAAACAGAGTATTTAACATCATGTTATATGCACTTACCAACCAAGTAATCTGTGTCAAATCCAGGAGCCGTAATAATTGAGAGTGGTATATATTGACCATTATTTTCAGTTATAACATGACAATCAACTAAGTTCACTTTGGTTCCAAACTGGAAGTTGATTTTGTATGGGTGGTGGGTGGTTTTATAAGAACCACCATTTGATCCAAGACCAAAATTTTGAATAGAGTACACACGCCCCTCAGTAATTTCATTTTGAAATTTATAGATGAGAGACCTCCTAACAGAACCCTGAATTCTGTCACCCTGCATTAAGAAAATGAAATCACAATTGAGTGTTATTTAAAATGTATTGAAAGCATGGTAAACTGACCTTCATATCTTGCATGACAAAGTCCATGGAAAATGGCAATTTGTGTTTAGTGAAATCTGAAACAAACCACAAGCGTATGACCTTTGCCAATGTATTCCAATTTTCTTTTTCAGCACTGAGTTCTGAAACAGAGTGATACTTTTTTTGCAAATTAGACATGTTACAAACTGAATGTAAAAAATAGATAGAGAATAATCCACTCAACGTAGAAATATTGCCATCACAGATGTATATTTATAAGCATGGTGGAAAGAGGGAAATGTTGCCTGTATTCTAGAATTTGAAATTTGAAATTTGAAATTTGAAATTTGAAATGTTGACAATATTAAAGTAATCTGAATTAAAACTTTTGTAAAGGGAAGATATTACCATTTTCATGTATCTGACATCCTGCATTTCCGTCATGATGTAAAAAACTACAATTTTTATACCTCCAGCTTGGGCTAAATGCAAATCAATAAGCAAAATTACATAAAACTATACTGAAATAGGTATAAACAGATGTATAGCCCTAATGACGGTCAAAGAACACAATATTGAACTCTAATCATGATAAAAAAGCAAACTTTTTTAGGAAAAAAATTTCAACTTCGCTCTTGAAGGTAAACAACATAAAGATTGAAAATCGGTAACTTTTAAATTCAAAAACCTTAGATCAAAGCTAATCAGTAACATTTTTTCCGAAATCGGTAACTTTTAAATTCAAAAACCTTAGATCAAAGCAAATCAGTAACCTTTTTTACAAAATCGGTAACATTTAAACGCAAAACCTTAGATCAAAGCAAATCAGTAACCTTTTAAACGAAATCGATAACCTTCGAATAAAAAAAGTTTATTTTGAGATTTCATGTTTCTTTTGAGACACTGATCTTGCAGATGAAAATATAACATAACTTATCTGAACATGCAGATGAAAATACTACTTGAGATTGCAGCAAAGAAGACGTGCAGAGCGAAGAAAATGTGCAGAGCAAGAAGACTTGCAGCAAACGGCGCAAAGGAGCATATGAGAGCATATGAGATATTGAGAGAGTATTTGCGCTGAGGAGAAGCATGGACTTGCAGTATTGTTGTGGCCCAAAGAAGCAGTTTGTCTTTTTGTACAAAATAGGTCTGTTTTGTAAAAAATTAGTTTTTGATTTTTTTTGAAAAAAATTGTGGTGATTACACGTGTAGAAAGTTGTTATTTGTGTTACCTGGATTTGTATATAGTTATAGATGTCTTAGATAAGCATATGGGGACCTTAATAATAGAGGGTGGCATTGAGAGAAGGGAGAAAAAGTAATTATTACTAGTCTTGCTCACCACCAAGAGGCAAGACAGATAGCAGCTGCCAAAGACTAATCAGCTACCGGAATTAGATACATACAGGGCAGGTAGGGAATGATAACTATAATATGGTATTTAAAATATAAGTAAATGATAATCATTGAAATGACATTTATGAATGTTTAAATTGTGTAAATGCATATATCACATATGATTATACGCACGGTCTTCTTGCCAACTACAGTTGATATACTTGGCCAACACAATTTACCAGAGATTTTCGCATTGTAGGGAAATTTTCATCTTTAAAATATTAGTTAGAGTATTTACGATGTCATAATTACAAACAAAATGTAAACCCTTTTTCATACATATATTTGAATCCAGTCAAGAGCTACTAGTGCATCATCAGAGGCCACTCATCATTCTACACAAGTCACAGAGATATCGATCTAAGCATGAAATTGACTTTAGGTGGACAGAGTTTTAACTCCTTTTCTTGAAAATCATCATATTTGGTTCTCTCATTCTTCCACATAACAATCACTGGCTCATATTTTAAGGTTAACAAGCATGGCAAAAGCAAGGGAATTGTTTTCTCCTTAATGCAATTATTCGTCGGATTTATCTTCTATAAAAGTTGTGCACAAAATCATTCCAGTTTGCGATTCTAGGTAGGAAAATAGAGTTGACAAACTCTCAAATGCACTTGTCAGTAGAATCAAGTAAACTTACTCAAACTCTTTCTAACTCACTGAATTTTAAGTCCACTACTGAGTTAATTAGACTGTTTTATTAATCAATATCTGCTCCCAAACAGTAAAAAACGATCATGCTTTGATTGTCCCTTTCAAAACACTGTTCTGCTCTTTGTTAGTGCCCCAGAAAGCTTGTTGCACAATCATAGCAGCAAATTCATAGCTCAGCTAGCTCTGACTCAACAAAGCCGCACATTTGTGACCCAGCATTCAACATACAACAGTATTCTGCAAAACCAGCAATTCATGGAAAACTTAACAGTGGCAATTGAACCCAGCCACAAATTCAAATAATTTTTCTCTAATCTGCTATGCTATCAATGTTATCCGCGAACTTGTGATTTATATGTTCTAATCTGCTAATCGCTCAGTCATTGGTTAAATTATTTGCATGGTGTTTCTGTTCAATTGGTTGTCTTCATATTTACATGTTTTGAAATGTTGGGAACTTGAGATTTTGTCTGCAATATTAGTTCATCATATGACTGTACATAATATTTACAGAAATCGGTAGCTGGAGTAATACTTCCCAACCGGTTTTTTGGAATTGTTTTATATTAGGTAAACACTTGTGAGTTTATGTAGTCTATTAGTAGAGTCTATTGACACTCCATGAGTATGCATAGACTTCTAAATTTGACAACCTTGATTCACATGCTGAAACAAAATAGTAAGAGTAGGGACAGGGGAAAGCGTGAATAACTCAAATCCCTTCGCAAATATAACTAAAACACACCATTAGAAAATCTGTGGATAAAATTTGACAAAAAATAATCCACGGGCAAAAGCCCGCAAAACAAATGGAATACAAGACTGTTCAATAAAAATGCTAAATTGCTAAAATTTCAAGAATTGTGTTCTATCTATCTATCTATTATACCCAAATACACCACCAGGCTCGATAGGAGCACAAACAGAAAGCATCACTATTTCTTCTTTTAATCCTTTCTACACTAAAAAACTTTTTAGTGAGTAGAGAAGAAAACATCAAAATTGAACAATCATAAAGGTTGATAATAGCATCACATAACTTACTAAGAGTAAGGTTAATAATCAGTCGTTCCTTCTTCAAGCCAGTTATTACACTGAAAACAAAGTCAAATGGTTATCTATAACTAATAAATGATATTTGGTATTACGCTTATAATAGAAAAATGAATCAAAAGGGACAAAATATTTAGAATTACATGGTGACATGCATGAAAACTGGCAGTAATATCACTCTTGGTGAATATTCTGTATAGCTGTGGTGATACTTTTACAATCATATTCCATGATCTTCATCCAGTTCTCAAAGTCTCCAATTTCCTATGAATGATGGAAGTTCATAACAAGTTAACCATACTTTATAAAAGTAAAATATTAAACAAGTTAATCAAATATCATCCTTTAGATGGCTTATCTTTGACAATTACCACTACAGTCCAAATAAAAGTATACAATATAAGCCAAATTTAATGAGAAGAAACTAGACATTAATCCTCTCCTGCAATTCCCTCTTTACACTCCGTTATATGATTTTGCATAAGGAGTCTCTCAAAATAAAAAGGGATTCTAGGTACTAAACCGTCCCATGGTTACTCTAAACTTGATGACGCCCATAGCCAGAATTAAACTCCTACACTAACCTTAAGATTACAACTATCTTAATTATTGGGATATCCCTTACCAAAGATGTAGAACCAAACCTCAAAAGATTTTCATAAGTCAAACAGTTCCAAAAGGGAAACTAAAAAATAGTGCCATCAATCTAAAGCACAACGAATTTTGGCAAGAAGAAACATCACAGTCTAGGTTTACTTAACTTTAATTTACCAGCTCAATTACAAACTCAATAACAAAGGTTGTTGTTATGTTACATGTCCATTTTAATTCTAGTCCACACAAATTAACCAGAGCTGTGTCCAATGCAAAACACAACAATAAGTACATTACCAAAAAGGTTTTAAAGCACTATCTATAACGGCGTTGTCAAGGTTTTCAGAGATTCTAAGACCTCAATTATCGCATTAACATCAATTAACCTTGATTACAAAAAAACAATGAAAACAACAAATTTACATAATGCCCATCTCAAATTTCAGCAAAAGGAATCGATATTAAAAAAGATGAATGACAGAAAGTGAGTACTGGTACCTTGAGAGCAGTGTTGAGGGCATGAGTGGAAGCGAGCCACTGATCAGTTTGCTTCATGAACCTTGTGATGGTAGCAGCAAGGGTTCGAATTTCGAGCTCAATTCGCTTCTGGTTGATGAAGGAGTCATGCACCCCACCATTCACTGCTTCCACCAACAGATCAGAAACGCGGTCGGTTTTCCTGATGGCGTCCTTCTTGGCTTTCTCTGCACACCCAGATGAAGAGAGTTGGTGTTAGCGAAACAAGATTGAATTTTGAAGGAAGGAGAAGAAGGGAGGAAAAAGATACCTGTGTGATGGGCAAGGACGAGAGATTTGTGATGGTGGACTTCGAGCAAATGTTGCAGTGAAGTTTCTAACCCTTTTGGCTCTGCGTCCATCCCCACGTACCCTTTTACATTCATTCGATTCTAAACAAAGTGAAGAACCCCTCTGCTCTGCCTCTCGTTCGTGCCAAGAACTTGTCTGTAAATCTTAAATTGCATTGGTCCCTTGTCTGCTTAAAAATATAATAAATAAATAAATAATAAAAATAACGAAACCAGGAAAAGAAAGCAGAATAGGAGTTAATATTTTTAGGTTAAAAATAAAGCATGTTACTATTATTTATGTTATTAATATTACTTTCATTATTACTGTTTATTTTAGGTCTAATTATGTTTTTTCCTGGCAAATTTTGGACTAATTTATCAAATAAATAAAAAACACATTTTAGTTCATCAAAACGTAGAAAAAATATGCTTCTTAGTACTTTTTCATAAATTTAAACTATTTTTTAAAACTATTTTTTTTAATTTGAACACTATAATTAAAAGACTAAAATCATCTATCAAATTCAAGTTAGGATGATTTTTAAGATAATTTAAATCCAGCATAAGTGTGTTGTTTATCGTATTAGTAGATATGATAAAAATATGTTCATAAGACACATCAATGCTTTCGAAGTATTTTGATATAAATTACTACAATGTAGAGTAGAACTATCAAACTTATATTTAATTTAAAAGACAAAGCTTTTACCTTAAAAATAAATTTGTGATTTCAGAGGATAAGAAATCAAGCAAACAATAGAAGATAACAAAAATCATAAAAAATAAATAAATTTAAGATGTGGGTAAAGAAATCTATTAAATATCAATTACTAATTCTTGGATATACATTGATTTTGGATTAACATATAAGGTAACTAATTATTTTTCTTTTTTTAGATTCTTCAAAACTAGGAGTGAACAAACTAAACTCTAGGCAGTGTTAGAATAACTATTAATGATGTTAGTATTTAGTGATTCAAATTTAGAATTTTTTTTTTCAGTAAGCGAGGCTGTTGAAAAGGAAAAGATTAATTGATTTTTTTACCGTACTGATTATTTTTAGACTTACATTTAAAAGAGATTAATTTGTATTTAATTTTATGTTATTAAACAGATGTTTAAAATATAATAAAATATATTTAAATTTATCTTTTGGATATTTTGGCATTTGAATTTTAGTGGAGGAGGTTCCAATTTTTGCATCCTATAAAATATAAAATACAGTATATCTCCGGTAAGAGGATTTGTTTGAAAAAAAATTAAGAATAAAATATTATTTTAATATGAATTTTATGTTAAAAATGATTTAAAATAAGTCAAATTATCTATATAAACAACTCTAATTAATTTTAAATAATTTTAATTATAAAAAACATATTAAAATAATATATATTTATTTTTAAAAATTCTTATAAATAACTTCCAACAAATACTGTAATAGGTACTAGAGATTGTGGAGTAGCAGCAACACAAACTGAAAACAGGTGCAACCCACAACTCAGGAGAGTCCATCAAACTCAATTGATGGATTGGGAGTGTAAATAGTAGAGGCCTCACTTTTTCATTTGGCCCATTAAAGCTGCATCAATGGGTTCACTGCAAATTGCCTTTGTTACGTATATATTTTTTAGTGGTGATTTTATGATTAATAAAATAAATCTTAATTTTAAAATTACTTTAATGATATAATAATATAAAATAATAAATCATCTTAATCATTAAATTATAAAAAAATTAATAAAAAAAAGAATAAAATTTTAATTCAGAATAAACAAATCTTTCTATTTATATATATAAACCACGTAATAAAATAAAGTTTATAAGTATATATATTGAATTAAAAGCCTATGAGAAAATTTTATCTTAGTTATTTTCAATAGAATCATTCACTTGTTCATTTTTTTTATCATAACTTGAAACATCTAAAAGGAGTTGAATCTAATTTAACGGAAATTAATGAGTTAGGTTATGTTTAATTTTTTATTTTGAATGTTTCAAACTGAGATGAAAAAAGATACTTAAACTGTTTGATTACCCTGATCATTAAAATTTTATTTGAAAACTGAATTTGATGGAAGACAACACAAGCTTTAATGGAACCATGGTCTTACTAATGTCCAAAGACTTCATTTTGAATTCTTATCTATCCTGAACTAGGTCTAAAACTGTACCTCCGTCTTGGCTTAAACCCCCATCTATTTTAATAGACAAATGGTAATGCAGGAGTTGGTAGTAATTGGTTCAGTGGAAGTGGTCAAGCTTGTAACCCTACTTAGTTTATGGGGATATTTCAGCAACATTGTTCAAATCAATTTCCAATTAATGTTACCGTGAAGGTTGTGATGTACATCAATTATGGAGATATAGACGTTGTCTTTGTTTTTTCCCTCCATTTTTTCAAAGAAAATGAAAATGACTTAGAACAGCACATATATCACTAGTTCAACCCATTAATTTGTGGTACTGCTATCAGAAATGAAGTTCATAAAGCAAGTAATGTATATGTAAGTTTTGAAAATCAGAAAGGGACTTGTATAACGAAGTGATAGCTACCAATTTCTTATCTTCTACATCTTTCTTACTTTTGGTGAGCACCAATGGAAAGAATGTGCATTCATATAACATGAGCAATGTGTTATCATCATCATTCGTTTTTTCCTATATTTATTTACTTGCATTTTTTAAAGTAATTTTTCATCTCAATTATGATTGGTTGGTGACGTACTATTTGACTTCAACTTTACCAAAGTCGTAAGTTTGGCAGCCATGCCTTTCTTATGTATTACTTAAAATTTTCATATTTTTAATATTTTTGTGTGAATTTTTCTACAAAGTTTCTATAAAATTTTATAAGAAATAAGTTTCCATAAAAATTTATAATAAAAAAACTCATTAAAATATATATATATATATATATATATATATATATATATATATAAATAGTAATATTTTTGTTCTGCTGTTAGGATATTTGTTATCTAACTATATACTATCGATATGATTAAAAGCAATTAAGGATGAGATAAGCTTAATGGTTTGCAGTTGAACAAATCACTACTACAAAATATGTTTTTCACGTCGTCATGTAACGTCAGTCAAAATTAAGTACCGACGTTAAAAGTTAAATTTTGACACATTCAACATTGGTTTTGAGTCAACCGTTGTTAAAAGTTGAAATAATATCTAATTAAGAGAATTATCACTGACAAGATTCGAACTCATTACATTAATGGTAGAAACTGATACTCCAACTACTAAGTTATTAAGATTTTTTGATAATAATTTATAAATAAATTATATTTATATACAAATAAATGTATATCCATGTAAATATATAAATACAAAATATATAAATATAAATATATTTTTATATTTATATATTTTGATATAATTATATATTTATATAGTTATATATTTACATATTTATATGTTGGATGTGAGAATGCGTTCGAGGGTGAAAGTGTGTATCGAGTAAGTTTTCAAAATTTGATGTCAAATTTGTAAGCGAATATCTTTATATGAGTTTGTAATTTAATGATAGAATATAATCTTTATAATTTATTTATATAATGATATAAAATAAAAAAATTTCTTTATTTATTTTTATTTTAATTTATTCTTTTTATCTTTTTTCTTCTATTATTTAATTGAAATTCTTATATTAAAATAATTTTTTCAAATATTAAAAATAATTAAATACTTAATTTTAAAATTATTTTATTTAATAAATTATTATAAATTAATCTATGTCTGGAAAAAATAATTATTAAAAGATGATTTTGTTTAATTTATAATAATCTATGTAAGGAAAAAAATTTCTATTAATTAGATTAAATTTGGTATCAAATTTTGAAGATCCACTCGACACACACTTTCACCCTCGAGCGCGCCTTCATATCCAACATATAAATATATAACTATATAAATATATCAAAATATATAAATATATTTGTATTTATATATTTTATATTTATATATTTACACGGATATACATTTTTTTGTATATAAATATAATTTATTTATAAGTTATTATCATAAAATCCTAGTAAGTGGTTGGAGTATCGACTTCAACTCTAAAGTATTGGGTTTAAATCACATGATTGACAATTCTCTTAAAATAATATAATAAATAATAAAAATAAAATATAAAGAGAAGAGAGTCTCTAGATAAATAGAGGAGGATAGAGGGTATTATAAATAAATAAAACTAAATAAATAAAAAAGATTATAAAAAAATAAAAAATTTAAACTTTCTACATCGGTTCACCAATCAACGTTGAAAGTTTGAACTTTCAACGTTGCTTGATTCATTGTCGATTCTGGAACCAACGTAAAATAACCTTCCAGACGTGAAATATGATATTTGTAGTGGTGAATTTATTTGAGTGTAATTCAATAAGAGAGTTGAGTTTAATTTTAAAGTATTTTATTGTTTTATTTTGTTTTGTCCAGTTTCTTCTTCAAATGTTAAAGTTTATTAAACATGGAAGGTACCTACTAGCTATCCTCCACATAAAACTACAATTTACCAGATAATAACAGTAAATAAAAAACAAATAGGATTAGTGAGTGAAAAAGAATGGTTAAATTAGAGTGTAATTTCAGTCAAATTTGATATCTGTGTGAGCTGTGGCTGACATTAATTGGCATTGGAAAGTAAGCTCCACAAAATTGATTTCTACAATTAATATATCATATTTTCTTTCATTATAAAGATATGATCAACGTTCATGACGGGGATCCTAAGCCACCCTCACTCATGGTAAAGACAAAAGCAAAAATCCAATATTATAACAAGGCCATGAACTATTCTGCAATAAAGTTTGATCAACATAATTGTCATTTAAATTTAATATACTTTGACTAAGTATGATGAATACATTTATTATTTGAATTTTAAAATTAATATCATATGTAAATGGTTTTTTTTCTTCATTTTATTTATGATCTATCTTTTAACATCTAAAGGAATAACTTTTTGTTATTTCCCATTGCTGTGTTACAAAAATTTTCGACCATGAATTAATTTTTGAAGTTTTGCTAACAACTTACTGCTATATATATACAAAAATTGTCACATAATTTTTTTTATATATATATATAACTTTTGCTTAATACAAAAATTTAAATATTTCAAGTATATATAATCCCATAAATATAAATTTCTGTCAATGTAATAATTGAGACTTGTTCTCTTTTTTAAATTGCCTTTCTGTGGTGGAAATTGAATGCATAGAATTCTTCTTAACATGAACAATAAAAAATATATATGATTATGATATTTAACAAATGTTATTAAAGTGAGGAAAAATACCCATCTAATTTTTCAGTACTGGTTCAAAGAAACAGACATACATCATTGTAGAATATAATTTTGTTTATAGAAACTTTCCGTTAGCATGAAAGTCTAATTTTTGGTGTTATTATTTAACGACTTGTTCCATGTCTGTGCACTCACAGAGAAACACAAGTAGAATTTATTTACTGTGTTACTGTGTTGATTGGAAAAAGAACAATATACGAGAGAACATAGATGATTAACATCACACTGTGAGGGAGGAGAAAAGTCTAAAAAGCAAAGAATAAAATAAAATAGAGCCGACAAAAGGAAATAGAGATACCAAACATGAATTAATCATTGGAAAAACTAAATAAGAAAATAATGTTAGAAAAAGTTGCCTGCTAAGGATGACTCTTCTGTGGTAGATATAGAAAGAATGAAGATATAAGCCACTTTTGGCTGTAACTTTCGGATAAAAATCAATGATTATATAATTTTAAAGTTGAAGAATACATGCTGTCAATATTTTTGCGAATTAATCTTTTTATACAGTTGTTGAAGTTTTTTCCAAACCAATAGAGAAGGAGAAGAACATCTTTTAGAACTGCCTCAGAGCTTGATTAGGAGATTGTAGAATTTAGAAGAAGGTGGTGTCTCTTATAATGATAACACTTTCCATGCATATAACTGAAGTATGAACTTGCCTTGAAAGTATTAGTCACAGATTCTTTACATTTTAAATTCGAACCTAACTATTTCCTTTAAATTATTTGGATTCTTTAATTTTATGTATTATGCTCTAAAGATACAAAATTAATTATAATTTTGGTTATCAAATTCTTAAAGTAATAAAGTGTCTTAAGAATGTGAATAATGTTACACTGCTAAATATTGTGGCTGGAGAAATAACAGCTAACAAAGAAGCATTCCATTATATCTTTTCTATGAACTTATATGCCCTTCAGATTTTCATTGAAGCTCCACCACCGGTTTCTATGTTGTTTAGATAAATTTAATATTAAATAATGACGATTGACGATGATATGATATAACCCATATAATATATATATATATATATATACTCCACGAATTGTCATGCATCTTTATGGTCAACTTTTCAATATATGGGGTACATATAGATATTAGACCATTTCATCATAAAATTTAATTTTACTTTAATAATACGTCTCAAATTATATAATATATTTTAAAATGATATTATATAAAGTAAAGATATAAACGTGAATTATAAAAGTTTATAAGATTGAATTAAACTTAAACCACTTGTCTCCTACAGTAATGTTAGAAAGCACAATACTTATTCAAGTAGCATTTTTCTTTTGTCACATATATAATAGAATATTAAACAAATGGCATGGGTTTTTTGCACCTTTTGATTAGTCAGCCTAGGCTATATTCTTTAATAACAACAGCCAAACAAATCGGACCCTATAGTTTCAATAATAATAAGGACAATGCATCGACCAAGTGCATTTCACCAGAGCCTTATTGTGTTTAACTTTCCAAGTTGCAAAAAGAAAAAAAAAAAATAAGAAGGAAGGTTTTAACTAAATAATTTCGTCCTTTTCCATTCAACTGGTCAATTCAATCCCCGAAATTTCCAGACTTAGACGTAAATGTTATGAATCAAGCGCTAATTTGTCAAGTTCTTGATGATTAGGTGAGTTGCCATCTCAAAACTCATATACCCTCTGTGTCACCCTCTTCTATATATTCTACCATTTTCCCTGCATCATCTCTAAGCTCATCCATCCATCTTCTAACCCTTACTTAGCAAACTAAAATGGCACTTTCTTCTTCTTCATCATCAACAACCATTTTTGCCATAGCTTTGTTCACACTTTTTCTTATAGGAAGTTCTTCTGCTCAACTCTCTGAGAACTTTTATGCCAAGAAATGTCCCAAGGTTTTCGTTGCTGTAAAATCCGTGGTTCAATCTGCTGTGGCTAAAGAACCTCGCATGGGAGCTTCTCTCCTTCGCCTCTTCTTTCATGACTGCTTTGTCAATGTAAATAACTCTAACCCAAGTTCTTCACTTTTTACTTTCTATCAAAGCTTTTTAGCATCAATACAAAACTTCTTTAGGGTTTCAACAACATTTTCCAAGTTAAGATTCATATCTTTCACCTTTTATACGTATAATCATTCCCGTACGTATTCCTTCATGAATACTGTAATGGACTCTGTGTGTGTGTGTGGGTGGGTAATCGTAATACTAAAGTACAAGTATTTAATAGTGTACATTCTTTTTGTGTTCATTATTGACCAATCATACGTACTTTTCTTTCTTTTTAAGTTTCTATCACTTTCAACACGTCATATTCGATGATTTGACATCAACAGTAATAGTACACGTTTCGAAGCATAAAAAAATGAAGTGAATATGTTCTTATCCAAATGTTTGTCATGGTAAATACGTACACCACTTCTTTTTAAAACATAGGCTTTTTGGTTTCCGCCACAGGCCATAGGTCCGAATCTCTCATAAAATAAATTAAGTATATTGAAATACTCTTGGTCCAATTAGAGTCTTCATCTAATATAATTTCTATTTGTTTTATAGCTAAGATAAGTGTATGTCATATCAGTTCATACTTCATAAATATTTTTTATTCTATTTTTCCCTTTCATTAATCTCTTTTGCATAATGCATGCATGAAATTGACCTTTCAAAATGAATTGAATTGAAGTAAAATCATTTATAATCTGTAAATTGGTTCAAGTTATATATTTTAACCTTTCAATCTACTAATCAGCCAATTCAATAACCCGTGAGATAAATTGAGTTGAGTTAATTTCTTTGAGTTTAGACTTATTTTATTAAATCGTATGATTTCTTAAATATTTTTTGTTAGACATCAAGGTGTGAATATGGAAAACTTAATGTTATTTGCTTTAAATAAATATAAATAGTTTATATATAATATCATAATTACAAGAATTTTATCAAACTAAAAATTGTCAATGACAAATATTCTTAAAATTTGATATAATCATAGTTTAAATAAATGTAGTCCAAATAATATAACAGCATATATATATATATATATATATATATATATATATATATATATATATATATATTCTCAAAACATGCTTATGTTTTAATTCTATGTCTGTTGCTGCTGAATTGGAAATAGGGTTGCGATGGATCAGTGCTACTTGATGGCCCTTCCTCAGAAAAGACTGCACCTCCCAACGATAAGTCTTTGAGAGGTTATGAAGTCATTGATGCCATCAAGTCCAAGGTTGAGGAAGTTTGCCCCGGAGTAGTCTCATGTGCTGATATAGCAGCCATTGCTGCTCGTGACTCTGTAACTATTGTGAGTTCTAAACCAACATATATGTGTTAATTTGTTATTATAAATCAAATCATGCTTAGATTTAAAATTAAAAGAAATTTTGTAAGACTTTTTAAAGTCATTAGTAATTATGTTTTAATTTTTAGTAATCGTGCATGATTATATATGTGATTGTTTTTTTTTGTTTTTTCATCTCTCATAATAAACACATCACCCACATGAAAAAGTATCAGTAGGGTTTATTGGACACCTAAAGGTAAAAAACATAGTAAAAATATGATTAATAAGAAATGAAAGATAAAGAAAAATAATAAGTCTTAATGAAAAGTGTGGTACATACATAGGGTTGTTAAATATTTATTTATCAATTTTTTTGTTTATAAAATTTCATTATGCAGCTTGGAGGGCCATTTTGGAAGGTTAAACTTGGTAGAAGGGATTCCACGACTGGATTCTTCCAACTTGCGAGCAGTGGGGCTCTCCCATCTCCAGCTTCTTCCCTCAGCACCCTCATCTCAAGCTTTAAAGCTCATGGCCTCTCTGCCAAGGACATGGTTGCCTTATCTGGTATACATGTCCTTTTCTCTCTCTCTTTTATTTTGTTTCATACGAATTGCTATAATATCATTGTTGTGACTATTCAAGGCCACTTTATACAACCTTATTCCTTTCGATCAAAAGAATTTTTCTTTATCTATACAGTATTTTTACAAGACTGATAAGAAGGAAATACAGTATCTCTTCGCTTAATAATTATATATGGTGGATTTGTGGACCTGATGTGACATTTAAACAACTACGTGCATGCTCGTCATGCTCTTCCTCTAAGCTAAAAGCCATGTGACTTCTGAAAATAGAAGAGTCAAGCTAAAAGAAAAGCATCTTTAACTAACTGGGAAAAGACATATACGCCATTATTGATTGGTTATGTTTTACATGTTTCCGCAGCTAAAAAAGAAAAACATCGTTTAAATATCATTTTCAGTTGTCATTGTTCTGCCTCAAGAAGAGTCTTACGTTATTTGTATAGTACATGCTTATCACTTGATATCTATCTATCTATCTATCTATATATATATATATATATATATATATATATATATATATATATATATCGTGTGTGTGTTTTGCAATTCAAATGTAAAAGAGCTACTAATTAAATAAAAAAGCAATTTGATTTGGGCAAAAAAACTTTGCAACTATAGCTTCCATGTTTCAATATTTTAGTGTAATGTTAAAATCTTAACATGTCACAAATTATGTTACTGAAATTAGAATACTTCTGTTTAATTTTATTTTATTTTTCTGTTGTTTCAGGAGCACACACAATTGGGAAGGCAAGGTGTGCTAGTTATGAAAGTCGCATATACAATGAGAAGAACATTGACAGCTTGTTTGCCAAGGCAAGGCAAAAGAACTGTCCAAGAAATAGTGCTGGGACACCAAAAGAGAACAATGTAGCACCACTAGACTTCAAAACTCCTAACCATTTTGACAACAACTACTACAAGAACCTCATCAACAAGAAGGGCCTCCTTCATTCTGATCAAGTTCTCTTCAATGGAGGATCCACAGATTCACTTGTTAGAGCTTACAGCAACAATCAGAAGGCCTTTGAGTCTGATTTTGTCACTGCAATGATTAAGATGGGTAACATCAAACCTTTAACTGGGTCAAATGGACAGATAAGGAGGAATTGCAGAAGGCCAAATTAGAAGAGGCACAACAAATAAGCTATAAACTGTGTGTTTTATGTGTGTGTTATATGTACACCCAAAAGTGGGGGAGCTTTTTTGTGAGTTCATTTTAAGGTGTTTCCTTGTGCCTTCAAATATTGTTTTGTTGTTAAGTTCAATTTCAATTTTAGTACACAGTAGTTGTAAGGAATTAATTGTAATTAAAGCTTCCTCTTTTTTTACATGTCATACAAACAAGTTATATAATGGAAATTGAATATTTTTTTTTATAAGAATTAATTACTTTAATTTATTTGAGTTCATTAGATTAGATTGATGGCCTTGTCCAAGATATTGAATTATATCTACAGTCATAAACCCATTCATAGTCAATAGATTACTAACTACTTCATTAATATTCAAACATTTAATAAGGTTGCTATAGTAAAGTACAAAACAAAAGCTTATATTAAGAGTAGAAGTCAATTATTAATTCCAATCCATCAAACCCTAGCTAAAAAGATTTAACAATCAATGACAAAAGAATATGTAAAAAGGGAAAAATTTATTACTTCATGATCCTATTCTTGCACTTCTAAATCCTAAACTGTACTTTGTGTTACGGTTTCAAGCTCCCTTCGTAAGTAGAAAACCCTAATTATAGTAGCCTTTCGGAAATCTTAACAAATCTATCCAATATTTACACCGAATGTTTTTTCTCAATGAAGAAAATTTGTGTCGTAAGATCTGTAACCGAATTTAACCTAACCCAATTCTAAATAGATAAATAGTCATCATAATAGGTAAATTCAATTTATTTAGGATAGGATCGTGAATTGAAAATTTGAAAGCCAATAAATATGAAACCACTGGTTGAAGACTTTTATTTTTAAATATTTTCTTATTTAATAATTTTGATAAATTTTCTTTTGTATTTCCATACGACTTATTGATCGGTTTTCGATGGATTATGAGTTTTTTACTCGAATATGTCTGAACCTTAAAGTGAAATTTAAATTGGTTAATTTAATTACGTTATTTCCAAAAATGGATTGACCCACATAAGTGATGTTTCGGACTAACTTAATTTCAAACATAATTGTTTTCTTTATCATCCAACTTGAGCAACTTATTTTGGAGAATACAATAAATAATTTTAACAATTGATTTAAAAAAATAAATGGCTAATATTATATATAACAAATCATCAAAATGTTAAAACTTTAACTCTTAATTTTCTGACATGAAATGGCCTTTTTATTCAACATTAGTTAAATTATAAGTACTTAAACAGTTTGAATTTTTTTTTTTCTCAAACCCTATGTGTATGTGGATAAAAAAATATAGAACAGTTTGAAATTTAGTTGAAGAGGAAAGAAGTAAGCATTGAAAGCTCTAAAACCGATATTTCTAAAATTCTCTTCTTGATGTTCTTTTTATTTCAGTTTTCAAATTTTCTCTTCTTTTTTAGGGAAAACTTGACCTAAATAAAATGACCATTATTAAGAAAACATATCTTCCTACTTTAACATATACTCAAACCCCATCCAAAACTTTCAATATGTAGCTTTAACTGTTGGGACTTATTATACAACTTCTCTTTCAAATTTATATATACTACAATGCTTTTACATAATTCAAGGGAAAATATAATATAAAAGGTTGAACCATCTAGCTCAACTCGTCAGTTGTGACAAAAAAGTATTTGTCACCCTTAACTTGTTCGTCCACAAGATAAAAATAATAAATTGTAAATATTTATATGTTTGATGAACCCAAAACTCGAGAATGTAATAGACGCAAAGAATATGAATTTGGAAACAAAAAAACAAAGACAACGCCCAATAAGCCCATCAGTATCAACTATTTTTTTCTTCAAATGCTTGTTATATACTATCATAAAAGAGGACAACATCAAGATCCCTATCTCATTGAAAGGGATAGTTAAGACATCACCAAACAAACCAAATACAAGTATTTGTCCACTAAAATTTTGTCTTGGCTCAGTAACAAAACCCAGAAATATTTGTTTCTGGAACAAAAGTTACATTTGCATGCACACTTTTTTTTTTTTTTCACATCAAAGACACAATCAATCCTCCTCCATACATACATATTACACCCTCCTCCCCCTCTTTTGCAAGCATGTGTAAACAAGAAAAAAGTGCCTTCACACATATTATGTGCACAATGCAGTGTATAGATCTTACATATTTTGTAAATTGATTCAAAAACTTTGCATGGTCCAAGTGGTTGCGAAATTGAGATCAAGTTCTTCCAGCACCACCATGTCTTTGGCTTCTAAATTGATTAAGGAGAGCAAGGGCCTAAATTGAAAAACAAATCCATCACTTGCTTTTGTACAAAAAGAGATAAAATAAGGCAACTAAATTAGTAAAACATAAAGAATGCATACCTTTTCTTTGGCCCTTGGGGTGCCTGATTGTGACAATGCTACTAAAGGTGGCACGGCTCCTTCTTGGAGCACCCTGTTTAAATATCTGTGGTTGTCTGAGCATAGATGTAGAAGAGCCGCTGCGGCATTCTCCTTTCCTCTAGCAGAACCCAACTCAATAACCTCAACCAAAACAGGAATACCTTGATCACCACCAATTGCTGTTTTCCCTTCTGGTATTGTAGCAAGATTTGCTAAAACAGCCACAGCCTTATCGACCATTCCAGCTGCAGGGTCCATTAACTCTACAAGGTGTTTCACAGCACCAGCTTGCACAATCCGATCCTTGTTTTCATGAAATAATGACAAATTAAACAAAGCAGTGGCAGCATCTTTCTTCCCCCTAGGTGTTCCATTCCCCAACAAATCAACCAGTGGTCTAATTGCCCCAGACCTCCCTATCCTGATTTTGTTTTCCTCAGTAACTGAGAGGCTGAAAAGCGTGGCAGCTGAATTTTCCTTGGCTTCTGAACTCCCTGTCTTAAGGACATGAATCAAAGGTTCAATTGCACCAGCATTTGCAATGGCAGCTTTGTTGTTATCATTGATTGATAAGTTTAGGAGAGCTGTAACAGAATTTTCCTGGATCCTAGTATCAATTGATTGCAGTAAATCAACTAATAAGCTAATGGCTCCACAATTTGAAATCACAATTCGGTTATCCATATTGTGCTTAGCAAGAAGGCGGAGTTCTGATGTTGCCTCCCTCTTAGCATCAAGAGAATCACTCTTTAACTGCTCCACTAATGTCCGAACCTGAGTTTCAGCAGCGGACAGATCAGCTCTAGTATCAACAGGAGTAGACACTACCCTAGGAACAAGCCACTCGGATGACCGTTGCCATATAGTTTGGCGTGACCTTGGCACCGCTGATTGGGGTGAAAACTCAGATTCTCTTTGCCAATTTGGCAAGGCGACAGCATCTGGCCCCGAATTTGATTCCCCAGAAGCTTCACGACTGTGGACCGAACTGGTTGAAAGCAGAGGTGTATTGTTGTTATCAGAAGTAGTCCTAACATCAGTTTGAGATTGTTCTGAGCTCATGACATTTCTAGATGGTGATGTTAATGATTCACCAACTGAATCCACACTTTCTTCATCTGAGCTGGCAGATCCATCATCTGAACCTGTGTGTGAGATTCTTTCATGATCCACATATGGCTCATGAACTGTGCCGTTTAAGGAACCACCTGTAGTAGAAGAGGGGTGCAATGTTGATGTTCGTTCTAGGTGGGTTTCCCGACCAGTATTAACAGGTGAATCCTTGGTCAAACCAGACTCCATAGAACCATGAAAGGAAGATGGTTGATTTAAACTTTTGGACTTAAGGGGATCCACAAGCTTCACATCATGTGTTTCACACCAGTTAGCAATTAATGCTTTTACAGTGTAGTTAGGTATTAGATTGGTGTGAACCAGCGTCTGACGTGTCTTTGGACAAACGGTAAGACCTAGGTCAATCCAGTTCTTGATGAAAGCCCGCTCATATGTTTGTCCTGATGCCACAATTACTGGATCTGTCATCAATTCCAAAGAGAGAGGACAGCAAAAATCAGTAGGTACCGACACTGGGATAGAGCTATGAGCTTGCTTAAGAATAACAAGATGCTCATGCATACGATTTACAACTGACATCATTTGATCAATATATTCAACTTCTGCAGTATGTTCAATTTGTTCAGCCTTCTCCTTCAACTTTTCAAGGGCTACAGCCTCAATCAGAACCTCTTGATTAGACCTTAGACCCATGTTCTCAGCAATGTTTTCCAGGACCTCCCAACTTGGTCCTACCCCTTCCAGTTGTTCCATGAAAGCTTTTCGAATGGTTGATGATGTGTCATTTCCCAAATTATCAGGGAGACATTGTGATGAATCCTTCAGCTGTTGTAAAATGCTGGGACCCAAAGCCTGAATTGTTGATATCAAGGGCTCAACTTGATTAACCTAGAGATTAAGAAAGAGGAAAGAGTGAGAACCAGCACTATTTAACATAAATAATTAAGCCAAATAACATCTGTGATAAGCACGCCTGAAAAGACAGCTAGTATATATATATTAAATACCAGATGGAAATCCAACTAAAACAAATATACTAGCAAATTGTTCACATCTTGTTAAACTCAATAAAAGCTAGAACTTGGATGAACATCTAGTATAAAGCAAAGCTTTGATTTGGTACTGAGTGAAACAACATAAATAATATGCGTAGACAACAATTTATCTATCTGTGATATATTTTTTCACATGATATTAGTAAAATAAAAATGGTATCAATATAATAGTTTATAATTATGATGTGATAATTTTGAGAGGAAAAATAAGGTGGTAAAGTGGGTGGACAGAAAACCCTTGATTATAATATATAGACATAATGAAACTTACAAAGTAAAATTTGCTAGATAACGGATGCCAGTTCAGAATAAGCTCTGTCAACTCATCAACTGCCAGACCAAGTTCCTCAAATAGTTTACTGAGCACTTCATTAGAAGCTATATCTGAAAAAACAGTAGTATCAATAATAGGCTTCAACAGCTTAAGCATCTTCTCTGCCTTTTGGTAATATTTTGATACAGGTTCTAACTTCATTTTTTCAGAAAATGGTAATTGAAAAAATGAAGATATCGCATCAGATAGAACCTTCAACAAAGATATCTCCATCACACCTGCACAATTAAGAAAAATTGCTCAGTTTGTCGTTAGTAAACCAGACACTGAAAAAAGAACTGTCCTCCTCAAGTTAAATCTCTGTCCTTGCATCCACTTCAATTAACTGGCTAACTAATAGTTCTAGCTATTTATTGTAACAAATTCGTAACCATTTGTATTTGGAATCTTTAACATATGTAAATCTGAATGGACAACAATGTAATAGTTCAAGATATTAAACTTTATAGCATAGCATCGGATTTGAGGAGACCATAAGACCTGATATAATAAGAAATCGACAAGCTTTTCTAACTATAGGACTGTACTAGCTAACTGACAGTGTGAAGACCTAAACCATCTGTTATTGGAGTGAACATGACCTAATGATGCAACTAAATTACAAATTAGAAAGAAAACTTTTCAGAAGAGAAAAAAAAAATGCAGCAAGAGCAGAAAAAATGTGGACAATATTAGAGTAAAATGAATCAGTACGGAACTAGTAGAATAGGATTGTCAAAATAGCCAATCAAAACATGAAAGGAATTTAATGAAAATGAGAGTATCAATGCATAAGATTGCCTCTTTAAAAGATTACAAATTGTAGTGTTGGTCAAATAGACCATTCAGTTTTACAAATATCAGAGATGATAAAAAAATCCATAATTCATTTTCCGACTACGAAAAACTCTGATGCATAAATTCATTTGTACAGAAGATTTTAGAAAAACTGAAATTCTGATATTAGATGAATCTAATACCACTTAAAGAAGAGGCAAACCCACTCCTACTATAGTCAAGGCATAAGAGAAGATATGTCCAATATAAATAGGATTTTCATGTCTCTCATTGCCAACAAGGGACTCATGCATTTTACACATTCCATTTCCTATCTAGTCTATCCAGAGAACCTCAATATAATAAAGTTATGATATAAGATTTATTACTCATACAGTATTGCACTCTTGAGCAATGAAGCAAATATCAGCTATCACTGGATAACAACAGAACTTGAGATTGAATAGCTAGCTAAGTTAAGCTAAAAGCACAGTAGGCTGAACTTAACACAATTCCAATAATAACATTAACAAAATCTTTTTTCCCTCTTGGTGAAGCTGATGATATGGTTAAAACAGCAACCTTGTGTTCTTTAAAAATCTAATTTTTCACAATGGCCATTTAGATCCTTGTCTTTTTTAATGGTTTGTCTTTATAGTATTCGTTGTGTTTTCTCTTCCTTTATCCATCAACTAAACATTTCTGGTTTGGAGCATTTATTGGTCTTCTCCAACACATGACTAAGTCAACTACGGCAAGATAGTCATCTTTTCCTTACCAACAGGGGCAGAGGAAGGGGGACCAGTAGATGCAATGGTCACCCCCAAAATTTTAATCCCCTTTAAGTTTTATACAAAAAATAATTTTTGGCCCCCTTGAAAAAAAAAAATTACATGTTGGTTCCCCTTCACTTTTGTTGTTTAGCTCCGCCACTGCTTATCAAGTGCTGCAACGCATTCAATTTTTTTATCTTGCCTATGTCATCTATCGTCATAAAAATTCAATAAAGTTTTATCTTAACAATTGATTATGCAACACAGCCAACCTCTTTTATTCGGGCAAGGCACATGATATGTAATACACGGCAACAACAAAGCAAAACATAAGCAAAGTTAGGCTCAATTAACTCAATCAAAAAAGAGGAAGAAAAACAAGCATGCAGCATGCTGAACTCAAGTGCCAAAACAAGTAACTGGGTGCATTATATCAAACACAACTTGACTCCAAATTACTGATAACCAGTGCAGTTTACTTGGGCTCTACCACAAGCACATTGCAATTAGGAATATCACAAAGCCAGTCAAAAGTTCTAAGTTTCAAGCAGAAAAACACATAATTACACAACTGTGAACCAAACCGGGCAAGACCAACAAATTTCCAGACAAAAATAATAATAAAATGCTACAACAAAGGAGTAACCAATAACCAACACTAATCAAATGCAGCAACTGTCCGATTTCAAATTAAAATCAAACCGCATATATATAAGTCGCATCTCATAATTGAGGCAAAAGATGACAGATTTTCCCCAACATCTCTCTCGACAAGATCCGTCGATAAAATATCTATTACAATAGATAATGACAAAATTGCATGTGCTCTAATAACATGTGAGGACCAACAAATACATAAGAAGCTTATGCTGGAAGTGCAGAACTATAAACTCAACGAAACTTTTGGTAAAAATGCAACCTTTTTTGTCAAGATGAAAGCACAAACTGATGAAATAAGGTGTCAAACTCGAAATTATAGATAAAAAAATAACCAATAATTGAGAGAGTTATGAAACATGGGTTTTACCAGAAAGAGGGGATTGAGAAGATGACTTCTATACGGCAAATGATTCTCAGTTGCCAGTGACAGAAAGGAGAAGAATTGGTTGACACCACCGTTGAAAAGTTTCCAACCACCGTTGGAATGGGAGGAGCTGAAAGGCGCAGTGGTGGTGCTAAATAAAGGTGAAATTTTGGGGAACTTGTATTCTTCTAACCTATGCTTTGACTTGCATATAAACAAAACGTGTCAAAAGTAATGCTTTTATTATTTAAAAATAACGGCATGTTTGGAATATCATCTCACAAGACAACCTGCGTGGTAGCTATGTAACTTAAGATTATTTTATGTATAAATTAATTTATATAATTTAAAAAATAATTATATATAAGCAAGTTTAATTTATAAAAAAATATTTTTTTTGTTTCTATAAATCTTCTTAAACAGAAATTTATCCAACAATAGAGTATATAAAAATCGTTTTCAGCTTTTGATTTTTGTTTTGATGTAGTAATTAAGACTGCGTGTTGTGATATGTGGTCAAAATTGTTACATTTGAATGAGTTTCTTCTTTGTAAAACTTGTACACACTCTTGTAATAGATTTCCTATGTAATTGTTGACCAACCAAATATTAATCACCATTCTCTTCCTTCCATTTTCCTGTTTGGTTCACAAATATATAAAAGAAATCTTTTAAATTTAATACCTTCTTATTTTTAAGTTTTAAAATATAAATACAATTATTTTTTTAAGAAAATAATAATTGGATGACCTCAAAGAAAAAACAATTCAACTATAATCTTCTTTATTACTACAATGATAATAATAAAACTTTATTTATTTTTTGTTTATTATTTAGGAAGAGTTATTGGATGAATGTTGAGAATAAGAAAATTATTTATATATATTACTCTTTCTATTAAAATATTTAAAATCATCTCAAGTTTTCTTTATTAAGGAATTTTTAATTATCTTTTATATTTATATATTTGAAGTTTTGTTTACTATGAAGGAAAAAAATTTGTTTTCATTAATGTATATCCGTTCTTAATACATTTGCTTCTCCATCATTTATAATTATAATATGATTTGAGATTTAGAGTGTGAACGAGAAATATTTCCTGAGCCTTGAGATGAATCATCTAATCAAGCAAGTTATCGGGAGAATTTTTTTATTTTTATTTTTGTTATGTTAGAGTTTCCTTATATGCATATCAAATGCCATATAATCTAATTTTTTATATTTATGTTATTTAGTAATGAATATTTATATATTTTTAAATATCAATTAAAATCAAATGATGTAACAAAAGCTCTACATAAATTTGAAAACTTTATATACATCATCTAATTAACAATAATATGAAAATTACACATTTTATTTTGATTAAATTGGTATAAAACTTATGGAAAGTATAATTTGATTAACTTTTTACACAATGTAAAAGAATTAAATTTTGTTCTTAAAAAATTATTCAATGAATAATTATGATGGGAATGATAAGTAAGGAAGAGAGAAATGAATAATAAAATAAAAAATATTTATCAAGAAGTATTTTTATTTAATACCACAAACATTTTTCATAAAAAAATTATTCTCGAGTTGTTTAGTTAAAAATAAATCCAACTTGATTTAAATAACTAGTCAACTGATCAATATTTAAAATAAATTTTAGTCTTGAATTTAAGTTTAAATTTGATTTAAATAATTAATGAGTTATTTTTCACTTTTTAGAAAAATATGTAAATTAAATTTAATCGTTCTTTTAATTATGTCAATATAAAAAACATTCACTAAATTGGCAGTTCAAAGTTTACTTATTTTTCAGTTTAATTTTATTGTAAAAGTAAATTTAATATTTTTCCTCGATAGAACAAGTTTTTTTTTTCTGTTTTAAATGAACAAATGTAAATATTAGTGATTTTAATAATTATTAATAAATAAAAATGGTGAATGAGACACGTACACTACACTCATCTTCATCGTCATCCCCAACTTTAAAGAGTAACAAGAGTCACACAGTCACACACCCAATGGCCTCCATTTCTGTTTCAGCAAGATCACTCCTCTTCACCCATTCAACCAAACGCTTCTTCCGTCCCTTCAAGCCCCCTTCTTCTCCCTTTCTTCTTCAATGCACAACAAAATCCACCAGCGCCCTCCAACAACCTCGCCGCAACAACGTCATCGAAATCCTCCAAGAACGTGGTTTGGTCGAATCCTTAACCAGCGATGCGCTCCCCGGTGCGTGCTCCTCACCGCTCAAGATCTATTGCGGTTTCGACCCCACCGCGGAGTCTCTGCACCTCGGTAACCTTCTCGGCCTCATCGTGCTGTCCTGGTTTCGCCGCTGCGGCCATGGTGCAGTCGCCTTGATAGGGGGTGCCACCGCGCGCGTGGGCGACCCCTCGGGAAAATCCCTCGAAAGGCCCGAACTTGACGCCGAGTCCTTGGAGAAGAACACATTGGGTATCTCCAACACCATCGAACGGATTCTGAGTCGCGCTCAAAATCCGAACTTGGTGGGTCCCGATTCTTCTGTTGTGATCCTGAATAACTATGATTGGTGGAAGGAGTTTAGTTTGTTGGATTTTTTGAAAAGGGTGGGTAAGTTTGCTAGGGTGGGGTCTATGATTGCTAAGGAGAGTGTGAGGAAGAGGTTGGAATCAGAACAAGGAATGAGTTACACTGAGTTTACATATCAATTGTTGCAGGGTTATGATTTCTTGTACTTGTTTCAGAATGAGGGTATTAGTGTTCAGATTGGGGGTAGTGACCAATGGGGTAATATAACTGCTGGGACTGAGTTGATTAGGAAGATATTGCAGGTGGAAGGTGCTTATGGTTTGACATTCCCTCTTCTTTTGAAGAGTGATGGTACAAAGTTTGGAAAGTCTGAGGATGGTGCCATTTGGTTGTCTCCAACGTTTTTGTCTCCCTATAAGTTTTACCAGTATTTTTTTAGTGTTCCTGATGCTGATGTGATTAGATTTTTGAAGATTCTTACCTTTTTGGACATTGAGGAGATAGTTGCCTTGGAGGGGGAGATGGTGAAGCCTGGCTACGTGCCTAACACCGCGCAGCGGAGGCTGGCCGAGGAAGTTACGCGGTTTGTTCATGGGGAGGATGGTTTGGCCGAGGCTCTTAAGGCCACAGAGGCTTTGAGGCCGGGGTCTGAGACGAAGTTGGACTGGAAAACCATTGAGGGGATTGCTGAAGATGTGCCATCTTGTTCTTTGGCTTATGATGAGGTTTTGAATCTGTCATTGGTGGATCTTTCAGTTTCTTCTGGTTTGTTCGAGAGTAGGTCTGCGGCACGGCGGTTGTTGAAGCAAGGGGGACTTTACTTAAATAATAGCAGAGTGGATAGTGAAGGTAGGAGAATTGAGGCTGCGGATATAGTGGATGGGAAAGTTCTCCTGTTATCAGCAGGCAAAAAGAACAAGGTGCTGGTCAGAATAGCTTGAGAGTGTCTATTGTACTGAGTATTCTTTGGAGACTGTTTATTTGCTTTGTGGTTTTGTTGTAATCTTAAGAAACCTTTGATTTTCCTGATACACGAAGCCTATTCTTTGTGTTGTTTTCTAATTAGAATTAGAGTTTCAACTCAATAACTTGTACTGGTTTGTAATGCAAACCTTTATTTCACAGATTATTTAGGCGAAAATTCACTTTTGATTGGAGAATAACCCCTCTTACTCACATCCATTATTTAGTAAACATTGCAGTGTAAATTTGTAATTCAACATTTCTTGAATTGAAAATATTGGAAGTGAATACATTATTAGCCATTGTTGAACAAATGGTAATTGCACTGAGCATAAATTAGTAAACCCATTGGTCTTGGTTGGGTGCAGTGGTCTTCTTGCTGGAAGTCTTGATCTTTGATTTATAACATATTTGATGTTTGCTACATAATAAGTATTGCGTTTCTGGCACGAGTAAAACCTAGTTGAACAAGTTGAGTTATTCTGGCTTTTAATTTGTATGATATATTGATATTGATGTCAACTTACATGCTTATATCAAGAACCAGATGTAGCAGGTTGCACTACTGATCAATGAGATCTTCAGCTTTCGAATGAAACTTTTCTTATGTATAGTGAATCATTAGACTGGTCAGTACATAAAAAACTATCTTTTCATTGGAGCTCTCCCTAAATTTGAAAGCTTTTCTGTCTTAATTGCTGCTTCAAAGTTGTTGTTCTGTTGCTTGACATTGAATAGGGTTGTTTGTTCTGATGGATTGGGGAGCTACGAACATAACTATTTTCTATAGTTCTATTTTTTGGAGACATGTAAAGTATTTATCACTTTTGTGCGTCTTCTTTTTTACCGAAAGGTACAAGAAAAAAGAAGTAAAATAGATTATGATAATATCCATTACTTCTTGAAGAGTACAGCAAGGGAATACATGGTGATATTAAATATAAAATCTAATGACGGTGACAAAAGTTATCAAAACCATTAGTTAAAGGGTGATCAAACCACTTTGAAGCTCTGGTTTGCATTTCTTTCTTCAACATGCCTCGAAATAACCATGTCTTGAACAACAATTTAATTGCAGTCAGTTCTTCTTTACCAACAATCCTTACAAATCTTGAATAATCTTTACCAACAACATGCTTTAATCTCTAAGAATGAACAAAACTTCTTTAATGGAAGCATTCAAAGTCCACACAATTTTGTTCCAAGCAACGATGCACGGGAAGATGTACAATTTGGTACTTTCTTGGATCTTGAATTCGGTTTCCAGTTCTGTCTCACACAACATCATTTATATGAATCTCTTGCTTAAGATAGATGCCATGATTTAAAAGATTCACACATGTTGATTTGAAGAGAATTGTTGTATTTTAGAGAAAATTCTTGCTCTGTTTACTAAATATTTCAAAGAGTTCTGAAATTTTAGGAAGAGCCTGATGGTGTACAGATTTTTTTTTTTTTAATTATCACCTGTACTTTAAGTATTACACCATTGATAACCAAAAAATAACCAATTTACAGAGGCAACTAACGTAAACTATTTTGCTGATTCAACTTCTTTTTCTATATATAATAGATGTATTTAAAGTCAATAAAAATATTACTTTGTCAATTAGTTAAAATGAAGTATTTGAAATAAGTATATTATAAATATTATTTTGTAACTGATTTATAAAGACATAATAAAACAATAGTTTTATTATAATAAAGAAATGTAAAATAAAAATTAATGGAGTGCATTCCCAAAATCTAATTTAAGATTAAATGATGTTGAAATCCCAAAGGAAAATATACATGTAAATCAAGTCTAAGAGATAGATTTATTTATTCTTAAATAATGATACAAGACTTTTTTTCATAAATAATACTATTTTTAAAAATATTTCCCAAAATAGCACATCCGAAACATTATTTACACAACTAGCACTCTTTACTGTTCACGTATTAAAATAATCATTTCGCGCGATGAACTCTCGCTCAAGCGAATAAACCCTTCGCTTGAGCGATTAAATCTGTAACAAAGGGGTAATCTCGGGTCAATTATCGCTCAAGCGAAGAAACCCTTCGCTTGAGCGAGGAAATCTGTAACAAAGGGGTAATCTCCGGTCAATTCTCGCCCAAGCGACGGTTATTTTCGCTTGAGCGAAACGTGATTAAAATATGTGGTGACCCAAGTTGCGTTTTGTTGCTAACTGCGTTGGACGTTTAGCCCTGGTTAATTATCGCTCAAGCGATGAGTTACTTAGCTCGAGCGAGAATTGATTGAGTGACTGTGTTGGACCGTGGTCAATTCTCGGTCATGCGAGAAATCCATCGCTTAAGCGAATAAATTTATAATCGATTATAATTTGAACTAATCGATCATAATTTAAAATAATAGCGGTTAGTTGTAGAACCGCTATCTTAAATATACTTTTAATAGCGGTTAGCTATAGTACCGCTATCTAAAATCTCGGGTCAATAATCGCTCAAGCGAGAAACCCATCGCTTGAGCGAGGAAACCTGCAACTATTTACAATGCCGAGTCACCCACCCAAGTCAGGATTCCCATACACATGCACCAAACTTCATGGAACCATACAACCCACCAGAACATTTTCTTAACTTTCAAAGTCACATTCAACAACAAGACCCAGAGTATGGTCATGCGTTGGATAGAGAGTCTTTTGTTTCTCCAGCTGGAACTCTATTTCTTGGACAACGATTCATAACAAAAGAACAAGTTCAAGATGCCATCAACCGCTTTCACATTGTCAATCACTGCACATACAAGGTGAAAATTTCAAACCAAAGTAGATATGTTGTTGAATGTGTTGTTAACCAATGCAATTGGAGATGTCAAGCAATATTGCGCACAAGAGAGCAATATTGGGAGATTATGAAGCTTGAAGGGCACCATACATGCGTTTCGCCATTAATCAGCCAAGACCACAACAAGTTGGGATATAAAATTGTTAGAAAAGTAGTTTTAGATCAAGAGGGGGGTGAATGGATCTTTGAAAGTTTTTCGCAAATCACAGATTATCTAATTCGAAAATTAAGTTTACTAATCTATTCTTGAATCTCAAAGCAATCAATTAAAATAAGCGCAGCAACTGAATTTAAATGAGAGAAAGGTTAAGGAAGATATCACCGGTATTTTATACTGGTTCACCCAATACCAGGGCTACGTCCAGTCTCCAGCCAAATTCCAGCTGGGTTCCACTAGATTAAATGTTTTACAGATTCAACAATCTTACACCTAATCTAACACAAGAACCAAATTCCAGTTCCTGCACTTAACCTCTCCACCAAGAACCAAATTCCAGCTCTTGATAACCTCTGCAACCAAATTCCAGCTGCAGAGAAACCAGTACCCAAATTCCAGGCACCACACAGTACAAGAACCAAATTCCAGTTCCTGTACTCAACCTCTCCACCAAGAACCAAATTCCAGTTCTTGATAACCTCTACAACCAAATTCCAGTTGCAGAGAAACCAGTGCCCAAATTCCAGGCACCAAACCTTTCACCAAGAACCAAATTCCAGTTCTTGATAACCTCCACAACCAACTTTCAGCTGCAGAGAAACTTGTGCCCAAATTCCAGGCACAACACAATACAAAAGAATGAAAGAGAATTTACAAAGAAGAAACTAGAAAGCTCAAACCAGTTTATCCAAATCTGCAGAGAGTTTCTTCTTCAAAAGAATGTAAGTTGCCTCAAGAAAGATTTTCAAAAGAACTTCAAAAAATTGTTGCGAATCCTTCTTGAAAAAGTTCTAAAGTTTGCTTGAATGATTGCTTAAGGATGTGTAAAAACTGATATTCAAAGTATTTTTCAAAAGTTCAAGCAAAACTGTTTTTAAAGAGTAATTTCAAAAACTGCTGCATTAATTAATCTGTTGAAAGGAAGTTTTAATCTGTTGAAATAGCCGTTTCAATCTGTTGAAAGTCCTTTCAATCCATTAATGCGTTCTTGTTTCTTTAACAGAATTGTTTTAGTTGATACTGCAACGGTTATATCAATTAAAACACTTTACAAAACTTTTCTAAGTTTGATTCAATCGATTATTTCGTGTTTTAATCGATTGATATACTGCAAAACTTTCTTATAAACCTTTTCAAGTTATTTTAACTGATAAAAAGAAGTTTTAATCGATTAAAACACTGTACAAAATTTTTCCAAGTTGTTTCAATCGGTTGAAAAGCGTTTTAATCGATTTAAACTCTGTACAAAAATTTTCCTAGTTATTTTAATCGATTGAAATTCGTTTTAATCGATTGAAACAGATCTGATCGGTCATAATTCCATTCTGATCGATCATAACCAACTCTGATCGGTCATAACTGTATTCTGATCGATCAGTCTGACTCTCTAAGTGATTTTAATCGATTGGAACGTGTTTTAATCGATTGAAATAAGTTCTGATCGCTCATAATTCAAATCTGATCGGTCAAATTTTGTTCTGACCGGTCATATTTGTATTCTGATCGGTCATAATGAGTTCTAAAGGGTTTTAATCGATTGAAAGCAATTTGTATCGATTAAAATACTGTAAAATTACTTCTTTGAACATTCTAAGAGATTTTAATCGGTTCTTTCAAAACTATATCAGTTAAAAACATTATTAAGAAAGCTTTTGTCATAATGCTTTGTTTTTAATTTGTTTAAAACGATTTTTGAGGCATTTTGCAAAATCATTTAAGAGAAGAAACTTTATGCAGCAGAAAAGATAAAGTGGTTTTACCTAAGCATTCTGTTAGACACACTAATCTTCTAACTCTTTTATCTGAGTGACTTGTTGACTGCTGCAGAGTAGCCTTTTGACTTCATCTTTGACTTCATCAAATCAATGAGATCTTTGCCAAGATATTCCACATCACTTTCAGTCTCCCCCTATTTGATGAAGACAAACACCATTTTGAAAAACAAACTCTGCAAGAGAAGTCACTTGATAATACAGATTAGTGAGAAATTAAAAAATGTATTAATGTCCTATT